ATCATAACTTTATGTCAGAAGATGAGGAGAAAAAGGCACCTATATTAATTGGAGAAGGGAATGAGACGATGTGCCAGCAAGGACACTAGACCCTAAAGAGGGGTGGATTTGGGAGGGGGGAGGGGGGGAAGGACCTATATCAATTGGAGAAGGGAACGAGCGCCAGCGAAGACGCTAGACCCCGAAGGGGGTGGATTGAAACATTCTTTATAAGGGTGTGGAAACCTCTCCCTAGCATACACGTTTTAAAATCTTGAGAGGAAGCCCAAAAATGACAATATCTGCTAGTGATGGACTTAGGCTTACCGGATGTGTACATGTTTCATAAACTAATATGGTAATGAGTTTCAAACACATAAATTATCAAGGATATCTGCATTTTCGGTAGTTCCTCCTGCCATGATGTTTAGTAAATCTTTCTCCACACGTCGTACAAGCTCAGGCTGCCAAAAAGAAGAGAGAAAGAATGAGTATGTAACAATCAAAAGGCACTTTCTAAATGCAACAAATTTTGATGTGAAGAACAAAAGATATGTCACTGTCCAATAATTTGTCCTCAACTACCTACTCCTTGTACAAGTAGGAATCTAAATGGATTATCATGTCGTACACCAGTTTACTATCAAGCTAATAGTAAGACGGATAAGAATGGCATACATTTAAATCCGGCTCTCTTCGAAATCTACGTTTTCGAGCATCCCTCATAGGAGGGGTCAGACCATGTCTATACTCGGTTGAATCTGGCGCAGGGTCGCCTGGATCTCTGACCATAATCATCTGTTAAAATGATAGCATCCCATAAAATCTAAGAAACAGCCAGATCATATCACCTGAAATGTATAGACTAAAGATTTTGATACAATTTTACCTGGGCAATGTCTGCAGCTTTGATTAGCACAGTATCATCGTATGTTTTATATGATTCCACTACACAAGGGAGATCCAGAAGTGATGCTGGAAAATGGTCGTCACCAATGGCAAAAGTGCCACTTCTCCCATCCTCTGTGTGACAATTTAAGAGGCCATAAATAGGCAATTAGGCCAACCCTCAAAATTAAGATAAAACCATACTGCACAGTTTGATCTATTTCCAAAGCCAATCAGTCCAAAAGTCTAGAGGTTAATCTATTCATCTAACATCAGAGCAAATGTAATGAAAAAAGCACAGAACAGGGAGATTGAACCAGAAGATGCCTGCATAAGTTTCTTTTACCAGAGAAAGACAAATCCAATGAAGGATCTTCAGATGAAGAAGCATTTTCATTCAGTAGACGTTCAATTCGTTCAGCAACAGAAGGTGGAACCCTCAGTACAAATTGCTCCTCCATGAATTCAGAGTCAAAATCAATAAAACTGCTGCACAAAGAAGATCAACCATCGTAAACGAAAACCATTTTTATTCTTTGTAAGGTTGATAAACAAAATCATCATTCGGCAATGAAAAAGAAATAGGGTTCTAGAAATAGTGCCTTTTGGGTTATCAAATCTGGAAAGAATTGGGCTTCCAAACGAAAATTGGTTCAATTCTTGAAAACATAATCTTGGATTACCTTGTATTCTTGAAGGGTGTGTTGGTGTCAGGTTTTTTGTATCCTGTGCTATGAGCTTTTAACAGCCCTTGTACCAAATCAAGGATACAAAAGCCGTCCCCCACGATTGACGGTTGCCGCCGGCGAGGGAGAAATCGAGGGGATAGCTGTGAAAGAGAGAAATCGAGGGGTACCGATAGCGCGGGGGAAAGAGTCGAGAGATACTGAAAATCCAGAAAATTCCATCTTATTTAAACCATTTTAATAAACTGAAAAATACCTTTTTTTTTTTTTTTTTTTTCTTTCCTTCCTTGTAGATAATTTACCATTAATTGCTTTATTATCATTTTAATCTTTAATTTAGGATTTTTTTTTT